AAAAAAAAAAAAAAAAAAAAAAAAAAAAAAAAAAAAAAAAAAAAAAAAAAAAAAAAAAAAAAAAAACAGGATGTACTCGTTTTGAATTGATTTTTGGCAAGAGCCAAATTATTATTGCTGCTGAAATCCAAAAATTAGGCTCAAAGAGCAATGCCCTTAACACACTTTATTGTTAATAATTTTCTTCTCTTGTCATTATTTTTCATTTTTTTCCATATTTTCTGAATTTTTTAGCTTATTTTATGAGTTCTATATACTTGCAGCTTATGCGCAGTTAATAAAACTTATTAATTTTTTTCGTTTTTCATAAAAGACAATAAATTTTTTATACGTTGCTAAACCTTTACATTGTAAATTGATTTTTATGTTGGTAGAACTTTGAACTTTTTTTTGTCTATATAGAGGAGGTGACCTCACAAAAAGAATCATGATGGTATGCCATCGGATCTTCTGCAGGGATGTTTCCTGAACCGTCTCCAGTAGCCTACTAAGCAGCTTCTAGTGCGACGTAGATAAAGTACCTACTTACCTACCAAAAACTTAAGGAGCATTCATACTGAAAATTGTTGTAGTAAAATTGTTTCGCTTAGATTGCACCAATCATATTCCAAATTGTCTAACGCATGGTTATGTATGATTGTGAAGAAAAGAAAATTGCAGTAAAATATTCAGTAGATACTCGGTTAAAATATTCTACATTACTACTGAAATTCAAAACATTTCATTTAAACATTTCTCTATCAAAAAATTTTTATAACACAAATCATTAACTTACATATAAAAAAAGAAAAGAACAGCATATTCTTTGGAATATTAAAACTGATTTAAATTCTTCACGAACGGCAACTTTAAAATAATAAACAACTGTATAGAAAACATTCTTCTAAAAGATTTTAATGTATATTTATTATAAAAACTTGAACTGTTAGATAGGAAAAAAAATATTTCAACAAATGATTTCTTGTAATGGTTAATAAAGTGTTATTTATTTGTTTGTAATTGAAGTAATATGACTAATTTTTAAATTCATACATTATTAAAATTCTGTTTAAACAATATACTTAATTTTTAATGGTATATCTATGATCATTAAGAATTTTAATGTTGATTAAAATTAAGAAAAATTTTATTTTTATGATGGCTCCTTAGTTCTTTCTTCTTGAAACATTGCATTTTTACATTAATATGTTATGTAACTAACATAAATGAGTGTTTCACCAACTAAAATCATAATAAAATAAAAATCCTATAAATATTATTTATATAAAATAAATATTATTATTATATATAATTATTATTATAAAAATCCTGTAAATAAATATAAGAAAGTTAAGCTAGATTGCAATAAGAAATAAACGTTGGTAAATTAACGCAAATACCTGTATTACCAATACGGTAGAAAATTAATGAAAGAAATTTCGAAAAAAAGCTATTAATTTAAAATATATTAGATGAAAAATAGAAGAGCTCTTTTCGTTTATTAAAGTAGACTAATTTTAGATAATAGTATGATACATAAATCAAGCTAATAATATTAAATTTTAGTTTTTAAAAGTCACAGTAGTTAAAATATTTTTTAGTTTTGAAAAGGACCATAATACCATGATCTTATTTATCACTTTAGCCTACCTTGCATGACATTTATAATTTTTTTAATGAACACAAATTAAATAATGCTCATTTTTATTATTTGCACTTTAATTAATATCTATTTTTTCCTTCGCAAGCGTAAGTACAAATTATATTCGATTTCAGATATTTTTAGTTCGTAAAAACATTTCTGCTTTCATTTTAAAGAAAACGTGTATTTTAAAGTCTTATCAGCTGTTACAAAATAAGTCAAAGAGTATAATCAAATGTATTTTGGATTTCTTTAGAAACAAGCATAGATAATTTTTTATTCTGAAAGAAATGCCGCTCTGTGAATAAGATTTCGTTTTCAAATAACTTTATTTTTTTTTGATTCAACTGTTTCTATACGAACACTCCTATTTTTATGAAATTCGTTTCTATAATCAGAAGTTTCAACTTATGATTGTTTCTATACCTGCATTGCATTTTTATGTTTTTGAATCAATACATTTTATTTTAATCTTTATGCATGATAGGAATGTAGTTTTCAAAGCAATTAAAAAGAATATACAGAAGAATATTTCGGAAATAAGCCTAGATATTGTAATAAAAATCCTACTAGAAATAGAGTATTTGTTTGCATTGTCATATGTATTAGTGCACTAATATTTTTTAAAAGCGACAGAGAGTTTTTAAAAGCAATAAAATCTTTATAGAATTTTCCATTTTTATTTAAAAGGAAATAATCCACATGTCAAGTTTACTCGTGCATGCATATATATA